AAATGTAATCCCAGTGCTTTTGGAATAGCAACCAGTGTGCCAATTACCACTGGAATTACCATGGCTCGTTTGTGCCATAATCGTTGAATTTTGGTTTTTAAGTCCTGGTATTTCGCGATTTTTTTCATATTCCTTCTCATCGACCCTGCTATCACCTGGTATTGCGATGTCTATGATTGTAACCTTATTTTTCTCAACCAGTGTGATGTCTGGTGTATTATGCGCCAGTATTTTGTCCGTTTGTATACGAAAATCCCATTAGATCTTGACCATCTGATTTTCGGTGACTTTTTCAGGCTTATGTTCCCACCAGTCAAGCTTATGTTCCCACCAGTTGTTGTTGTTGTTGTTGTTGTTGTTAATTGTCGAATGACCTGGTCTGAACCTTGCCTGCTTTGAGGCTAGGATGTTTTTGGAAAGCTTAGAATCAGAAAGTTTATAATATGAAAACTGATCTTTAAGCTACTGATTGCAGATGAGAGGCTGGTAGGATGATAGTTTATAGGATAAGACTGATCTCCTGTTTTGTCCATGGGAAGAAAGATGGAATTAAGCCGAATTTTGGGATCTGGAAAGAGTTATTTCTGGAGATGAAGAGAGGAGCTAGCAGAGGTGGGGTTGGATTTTGGAAATTCTAGTATAATTGTTTTTGCTGAGAGATTTGCCCTTTTTCCAATTGAAAAATTTATTTTGGATGTTTTATACATGAGATGGGTCCATTGAGGAAGGGTAGCAAAACTGAATGATCCCCACCCAGAGATGTCTTGAATAAATGGCTGAAATGTCCATCCCAAGAATCAGCAGAGATTAAATTATTGTTGTCAGGTGAGTTATAGCTAGCTGAAGATCAGAAATTGAGGTGCCAGAATAGGCAGTAATTTTTTTTTGTTTAGCTTTTGTTTTCTTCGTTTAGTCTTTATTGCATAATTTTTTTCTTCTGCATAAACCTCCTGAAGCTCTTTTTTTTAATATAGATTTTTCAGGGTTTGATATATTTGAGCATTTCTATCCACGATAATTCACAGGGTCTTCCCTGGTAAACCAGGGTTTTGGTCAGATTGATACAACCTGTAGAGGAGAAAGGCCACATTGAAAAGCATGCGGTCCCAGAGGAAGCCCTGCTGCGTGGATCAGCTGTTTGGTGGTTAGTAGAGCAGCTGGAGCTGGTGTGTGTGTGAGAGAGAGGGGGGGGAGGGAGGGAGGATTGGAGACACTTGGCAGCCTACTTTCAGAATTACAACGGCAGTGGGGGTGAATTTATTTTCTTACATTTATTTTACTTAGGTATCAAATTTTGAAACAGCTGATCTCTCCCACAGAGGGACTCTGGATAGTGTGCAAATAAAATATTAAGACATTAAAAGCCAGTATGCAAAATTTAAAAAGAGGCAAGGTTGATTATAATTCAGTTAATTGGAGGCTGGGGTGGGTGGGATGGAGGGAGGCTTTCAGGGTGCTAATCAGCTCCACCTCTGTCTGCTCCTCTGTGCTCCCCAAGCAGGAGAGGAAAGGCATATTTTCAAACCTTTCCAAAAGGGGTCCCACCTCGTCTCTGGGGAGAGAGTGTTCCACAGGGTGGGGCAACGGCAAAGGAGGCTCTCTTTCTGGACCCCACCAGTCAGAATTCTTCAACTGACCATCCACACCATATCCTCCCGCCCTGGGTGGGATGGGCCAGGAAATTGGGCTGAAGGTGGTTCCAGAGATACAGTAGCCTGGCCTCTGCCATCTGGGCCTTTAAATCATAGCCAACACCTGGCATTGGATCCAGAACAAAATGGCGCCCAGTGGAGCCAGTGCAGTGACGTTGTTACATACTTTGCTCTTTGGGTGCCCAAGATTGCACGTGTGGCCGCATTTAGTACCAACTGCTTCTGGGGATTATTACTTTTCCAGAAGCATTACTGGCTGCATGAGGCTGCTTGCCAAGCTGCCTGTTGCTCCTGGGCCTCACTTTGGTTTGAAAGATGAGGAAAATGGGTTTGCTCAGGTTTTCAATGTTTCTGAGCAGAAGTGATAATTTGATGGAACATGGCAATTATTTTACCAACTGTTGCCATTAATTTGCATGTTGGTATTAATTGCTTCACCTTTGAAGATTTGTAGAGAGACATCTCATCTCAGCTTCTTATCTCAAAGGCTTTCTCCTAATTGTTCGCTGATATTTTATGCTGACCAGTGTGGTTCAGCGTTGGAGAAACAGCAAACCTCACCAGCCCCCCCCCCCGCGAGGGAGGGGTGCTGGTGATTTATTTTGAAGAGAGAGTTGGAATGATGTCAGCGTTCCAAATACCATGTAGAATTAAATCAGAGTTGAAGGCAAAACTATGATTAAAGTTCCAATTTAATAAAACAGGCATGTTGATACATAGCTGTGGGGATTCCAACTCTGGAAGTTACATCAGAATCCCACCCAGTTAAAAGTTCATGATCTTGTCCCCACACCCACAGTCCATCACATGGTCCAATCTCCTTCTTCCACGCTGGCGTCCATGCTCAGCTTCTTCCAGTCAGGTGTACTAGTGTGGAGACAAAGGATGACCTTGCTTCTAGTAAAGAATGAAAAACAATACATTCCAAAATCCTTCTCCTTCTATCCCCCCCCTCCCATTGACTATACTTAAAGAACCAGCATAATGAAATAAGAGAAAGTGTGGCAGGCCAAAATTCTAAAAGGAATATAAATGCAGGCCTGACACTGATTGCGCCAGCTTTTAGAGGGTGAGCAATAACTACCTGGACTGTCTCACAAACCTGCCCAAAAACAGACAAATGGTATACCTGTGCAGTGGCCACCGTCCCTCCCTAATTCACTGAAGGGATAAGGAGGAGAAGCGGGAGCCACCATCAGACTTGGAAGGCTTTGGTCATAGAGCCAACCTTGGTCAAAGGAGCTTTAACCTGTGGAGTTGATTTTCTAGTCTGCTCGACCCAAAGGGGGAGAGGAGGTTCCTGACCTCTGACCTGAAATGCTACACTGCAGAATCCAGGCCCTGGGGGCTTAAGAAAAATAATAAATCTAGAGATTCCCAGGTTGTTCCAATGGCTTGAATAATGTTTTATTTTATTGTTAATTAATTACTGTTTTTACTGTATGATGCCCAGAGTCACATCTGTGAAATGGGAGGTTGTATAAATTTGATCAATGGAGCTGTGTTAATTGTAGCCAAATGAAGGTTTGTTCTTTACTTCTGGACTGTGATCATGTTTAATGTAACAAAATTAACGTTTTATATTAACTGCAAGCCTAAAGAGAAGACGGATTTTTAGAATTAGTTGGGAGAATAACTGGAGGCTGTACTTTGTACATTAAATGAGTCTGAAAGTCAAACCCTGTAAAGTTTGTTTTGTAAACAAGTTTAATCACTGGTGAAGTCAGTTCTGCATCTTTCACAAATGTCTCTTTTTTCTCTACTCTCTCGAGTTGAAGTGAATTCTGTTTTATGGCTTCTGCTCCAGCTGGAGCAAGCTAGCAGTCAGCTTCCGCAGAATTCCTTCTCAGAAGACTAAACTCCAGAATGAAAGTATTCTAAGAAATTATGTTCTTGAGATTTAGCTTTATTTGTAAAATAAAGGAATGCTGTTTACTTCTGTCTTGCGACCGGTGCTTCCGTCTCTAGCCTGCCTAAGTCCTCTTGCCCTGGACTTGGTTGCCTCCTTACGTTGTGGCTCTTGCAGAGTTTCTAGAGATTTCATTGCTGCCTGAAAAGGTCAGATTGATAAAGAGGATCCAAGGAGAAACTAAATTGCTCTTGACCTAAGCTTGAATAAAACAAGGCCCCAAATGATGGCCCCCGCTCTTCCTCTCTGCTAGTTAGATATCTTCAGTGGGAATAAAGAGAGAACTCCCCCCTGCCTAGTGGAGCCTTTGGGTGCTGTTGCTGTGTGGTGGGAGGCCTCAGGGCCCTTGGCAAGCAAGAGCAGCAACTCTAAGCCTCTCTTTCCTGTTCCAGCTAGTGAGCATCGGATCATCCTACAATTATGGGAATGAGGACCAGGCAGAATTCCTCTGCGTTGTCTCCAAGGAGCTGCACAACACGCCCTATGGCACAGCCAGCGAGCCCAGTGAGAAAGCAAAGGTGAGTTGTCTTGAGAAGAGGAGCGCCTAAAAGCTCAGCGCATGGCTTTGTGCTTGTCAGGGGTCAGGGCAGGGGTCAGGTGCCCAGGCAGCTGGTTTTTCGGACAACAAACACACCAGTGAATAAGAATTGTTCAGTTTTATTATTAACCCGAGCAAAAAGCCCAACATATAAAACGTACATGCTAAACAAGATGACACCCAAATCTCTGATAAGGAGCTCCTTAACAACAACCGCAGAGATTCCCCCCCCCCCCCAAGGCTACCCAACTTGCACCGCCCTCTGTGTAGGATTCTGGGTGGAAGCTCCCAGTTCAAAGGACAGGCAGAGGTTTCTATGAAAGCCGGGCGCTGCCTCTGCAGTCCTGAGGCAGCAGGATGTGACCTTGACCAGGAGGCACCTGACTGGGATGGAGCCAAAAATCTGAGTCTTTCACAGATGAAAAAAACTGCAGCAATATGACAGTTCCCCCCCCAAACTATTTTCAGCAGGCAACAATGAAAAACAATCAGGTTAGCTCAGAATGAGCCTTAACGTTTTTCTTAATATGAAGGAGAAATCAAAATGTGCCAGTCAACTCAAAATACAATGGTATCCCACTGTATTACTACCCTTCAATGTGAATGGGATTCCTTGTAAGAAAGCAGCCTTGCTTCTGCCCACGGCTGGAGCCCTTGTCCCCATTGAGGTTTCAGATTCTGGCCTGAGTTCTAAACCCCCACCCCCACCCCCATCCCACTACAGAAGAATTCTGTTTGCATCCCATGGCTAATTCCTTGGGGGCGGGGTAGTTGATTGCTAGGCTGAACAGGGGGAGTAAATGTTGGTTTAATTAGCGAAGTTTCAATGTCTAGACAATGCCCTTGGCATTTAAGGCCAAATTGGCCTGAAGGAGAATGGAAGAATCTTCAGAAGATGAATGGGCATCTGCTTGTGGCACATAGATCTGGCCTCCTCCTCTGCCAAAGGCCACAGGAGGGCTGCCATCAGGAATAACAGCCACTCTAGTTAAGAGGACCAGAGGGTGCAGGTGGCTCTCCATCCTCAGTGAGGCAGAACTGGGCAGATCACGGGGGCTAAGGATTCAGTTATTTTAAGATTGCAGACTAGATTTTAAGGGTATTTTACTTGCTTTTTATTACCATGGCAGCCATAGTTTTACTTTGTGCATCAACATGAAATGACTAAGCCATCTTCTAATTCTTCTGGAATAAACTTTAATAAAAAGAGACTGATGGTGAGAGCTGGAGAAGGAGAAAAATGAGTTTATATGAGCATTTTAGACAGAAACTATAGAACTAGAAACTCCAGTGAAAAATCAAAAGCGATCTGATTGAAACAGGAGATCGCACAGTCCTAGTCCTTAAAAAATGTGATTGGAAAATCTGGGGCTTTGCAGTACCTTAGAGTTCTGTCAGTCCTAACCTTGCAAACCAGCAACCTTGACTGCTGGTTTTTCTAAGAATGTGACAGAAGTATTGCGAAAAGAACTAGTTTGGCTATTTGATTTCTCAGATTGTGATACTTGCCAAGCCAAAATCCAGCAAGGTGTCTCCATATTCCGTTGAGGTCATTCAAGGATATGTTGCATTATTTGCCATTATTGTCCATGTTCTGCCATCTTTGAGGAGCTGTAAGAAGCAACTTCACTGCACCTGCTTTTCTTTTGCCTTTTAATAAAATTTGTTAGCATACAAAGATGCTCCCAGGCTCCTCCTATTTTGGACTTTCCTCCTATAATGCTAGATTAAGTGTGAAGGCAGAGGTCAAAGTGCCACTTACTGCTTCCCACCCCCCTCTCACAGTGTTGCCTCTTGTTTTTGTATTTCTACATCCCTTAACTCCCAATACTGGGTAAAAGCGGATTGACATATCATTCTTCCCATTGTGGAATAGTGCCAGGGCCAGGGACTCAGGTTCCAGACGGACAGGGACAAAACATTTTAGTGCAGGGTTTCTCAGACACTTTCCCTCCAGTAGGGCTGATGGTCAGACTGCTTTGGGATAAAGATGATTAAAACAAGCTTTGTGTCACAAAGCGCCTCCAGTCATCTTGTAAGCGACATCTTTCCTGGCGGGGTTCCTGGGTCTTGGTGGCAGGAACTGCACAAACTCTTCATGGCTGAGATATTTATGCTTGGTGACTAAAGTTTGCTGACTTTGTGTTGGTCGGAGGCATGGGTTTTCTTTTTCTAATATAGAATAAAGAATAAAGAAGAATAAAGTAAACAATATTTAGTATACAAATCCACTTGGAAGATTTTGTCAAATCTAATTTCTCACTGTAATCCCACCCCAGATTTTGCAGGAACGAGGTTCGAGAATGTAATTGAATCACAGTATTGAATGCAGAAGATTCTTTTATTTGCATCACCACACGAAGAGGCTTGGTGCCAAGTGGGAGTCTCTTGTGCAGACAAGATGGATTTGTAACCTTTGAAAATGTTGTGGCCGGAGCAGGCCTGCTTGCCTGCATCATTCTGACCTCCACAGAAGGACTCGGCTCTCCTCTTCACTTCCGCCTTGTAGAGCTGCAGCACTTTCTCCAGTGCCGGCCAGAGGAAGTTGTGCTGGTTTGTGGGGAGCTATTGGGGGGGGGGGGGGTTAGTTCCTGCAGGTGGTCCAAGGACAACTTATTGGTGCTACTCCAGTCCGTATACAGGCCTCTGTTACTAGCAGCCTCTGTGGACTTCTCCTACACATTCCTTTGCAGTTCTCATGTCAGAATGTTTTAGGGAATAAGTATTCCTCTGTCAGGATACACAAAATATGCGTTTCTCTCCTCCCTGATTCCTTTCCCCTCTTCCCCTTGCTTCCTTTATTATCCAAAGGGGAGAAATCTCTTTTTGCCTGCATTTCTAGAGTTGGCCTTCAGATTGCTTGATCTTACCAATGTCAGTTTGACTACACTTAAGGATTGAAGACCAGTTTTGTTTACAAATGATACGACATCTTGCCTTTCAAATGCATGGCTGCTGCCCACCATGTTTTTTGAAAATTTCTGCAAATATTGATAGTGGCAAAGCTGAAGTTAGGCCTCATATTTTAGCCTTAATGGCTGCTCAGTCCAGAGGGTCGGGAAGGAAGGTCTGGGTGCCTGAAAGCATAGAATTTATGCAGCAGAAAGTAAGAACTCTTCTGATTCTTAAACAGATGTTTACAGTTATTTCTATATTCTTATCTATGCAGTTCTTTCTAATGTTTTGGCAAATACTGCCAAAATGAACCATAGTTTCATTAAGAGAAGCTTCTAGTAAATGTGAAAAAACACAACTGGATCTTTTTAGAGCACTGTGTTGAAATGGAACCCTTGACAAGCCTTTCAGAATAGCTTGAAGAGGAATCTACTTCAGACTTCTCTTTCTTCTTTAGAGAAGACTCCCTGCTTGTTTGAGACTTTAAAGCATCCAACCCATAATTTAAACTTCTATTAAACAACTTATGTAATACTTGTTTTATAATTCACACGCGCTGTCTCAAATATACCTTGTCTGCCTGCTTTTGGTAAAATCTTTGGGCCCAAAAGAATGGGCAAGTTGGCTACATCTTCTAGCCTCCTGTTTGGAGATGACATTAAACAGCACGGAAGATTGCAAGGCCTTCTCAGTACTTTTTAAAGATGCTGAATTGATTAAAGTGGAATTACATAGGACAACTGTACATACACCCGGGCCCTTTTTACATCTTTTCATATCTATCGCCAATTTTCCCCCTGAAAGAGGTATTGCTTTGAGAGGAACTGAGAAACAGGTTTGTGTATAGGGCCATGCCTCTTGGAAAAGTTGCCACTGAACTGACCTTGGCTTTGTGGAACATTCTAGAAGAGAAGTAGAATGGCTTGAAAGACTAACGGCATACCTTCTCTAAAAGATGGTGCTTAGAATCCTACTTGCCCAGCCTCTTTTTAAACCCCTTAAAGTTATTAGTAATTAGCCAGCTCATTATCATTCCATGCCAGCCTGAAAGGGGACAGGAGCCAAGCTCAGGATGGGGCAGTGGAGCCCCTCCTCCCCCCTCTGTTGTATCCCCTTCAGCACGAGCTCAAGGGTTGGCTTTGGAATGAGTGAGGTTCCTACCTCCCACCCCGTCCTTGCCATTTCTGAAGATTGCCTTGCAAGAGCAGGGAGGGGAAGGGAATATTGACTGACATTGACTCACTTTTGAAGAGTGGCAGTTCAGAAACGTACAACATTAGGGCTATTCTTATGGAGGATTTTAAATCTTCCTTTGTGCTCATTTTGGTGTTATTTCTTGCTGAGTTGGGGAGGGGGTGGGAGTAGTATGTGAACAATATAACATCAGATTTTAAAGTTTATATCTTGGAAATTATATCATCAAATTAACCTAAAAAGCATGGAATTTTTCTTTGTATTTTTCAAGACTATGTAATGTTATAGGGCATGACACTTAGCTTCCTGGAAAAAAAAGTTTAAAATAATCCATTAACTATTGATTATCACTCTTTTATGGTAGTCTCTTTCCACATGTTGTCTTCCTCATTTCAACAAACACTGTTATAGAAAGTTGATGGGTCTTACCAAGGGAATTGGGTAATTTTAATAACTTAAATTGACACTTGTCTTTGAAGGTTTCTGCACCTATTCTGTATTTTGAATGATAAACATGGGTGTTAGCAAACCTGTTCTTCTTTTCAGTTCTTTTGTCTAACTTTTGCATTCATTTTATTTATTTTTTACAGTGAAGGTTAAATCCTTTTTTATATGCTTTAATATTGTGTAGTGTGACCCCATAAAACTGATATAACACATAAGACAATGATGATGCTCAATAAAAGAACAAAAACCGCAGAAGATGGAGTTGTCTGAAGGTCATAGGCTTCTTTTCCCTAACAGGGAAGTGCAAGTTCTTTTCAGTTTTAGTAATTTACTCCGGAAATGGGACCTCCCTATTTTGACTGGATTTTAGCCTACAGAGCCCTGCATTTTGAGACTTGAATGTTGCAAAAAACATTCTTTGCATCTACTGTGGAATTGGTAGAAAATTCTCAGCTACAAGTTCTCTGCTTACCAGGAGGCCATAGTTCCTTAACAAGTGGAACCCCATAGAGATCAAGCCTTTGGGATCAGTTCTATTGACACTTTCCCAGGGGTTCTCAAGCAGAATCTTGGCTGGTTCTTTTCCCTAAGAAACCCTCTCATTCCAAATATCATGGACTGCTTCAGGGCCCAGATGTTCTAAATTCCAGCTGCCATGGCTCACACTAATGAACCACTGGGAGGGAATTTGCTGCAAGCTTGCTGAAAAAGTTCTAGCTGTCTAATTTCTTTTCTTTTTTAAAAATTCTTGAACATTTTCAAATTAAGTCTTAAAATAAAAGGCCACTCAGAAGCCTGAAAAGAATCCAGACCAAGAGTTTTATTCTATCCTCAGGCAGAAAGTCCCGATACATTTGGTATGTTATCTTGTCAAGAAGAGAAGATTTGAAAGGGCAGTTCAATGCTGGAAAAAGCTGCAGACGCAACTAGGTAAAGCATCTTGCAGTACATTTCAGGGTAACACGTCACACCTTCCTCAATGGGCTGGGTAAAAGGAAAGGAAAACAAGTAGAAGCCAAAGAATTCTGAGTTTTTCATGAATTAGAATAGAATTTGGAAAGCAACAGTTTCGTGAAATACAGGACTAGTCACAATGGGTATTATACCTCTCAGTATATAAACAAGTGGAAGTCGTCTTCTCAAACTTGGCAAAAGCATCCTTTAGTCACAAAATGGGACAACTCAGACATTTGTTTTTTTTCAATTGTAAATGTTTTATTCATTTTCATTTTCAATTTTGTACATTCACTTATATACTGGATATTGGCAATAATAATATTATAATCGTAAGAAAAAAAAAAAACAAACAAACAAACAAACAAAC